GTTTATGAGTGATTTTTTGTATTTTATTACTTTAGTGATACAAATATAAACAATGGTAAGAGTTTGTGTAAGTTTTAAATAGAAATACGAAAAGGCATCGCCAAGGTAATTTTACAAGTAAGTAACCATTAGCGTCTCTACCATTTTTTTTAAAAGAAACATAAGTACCTACATTTTATGAAAAAGGCCGTTAAACATGAATTTAAAATAAATGGTAAATTTAGTGAATTAAATTTAAAGAACTTGTATTATGTATGAAGAATATTGTTTTAGATTTTGGACTCTACTTAAGTCATTTTATCATGATAATGTTAAAGATGTTAAATCAATAATTTTTGTTTTTTTGTAGGTTTCCAACTAATTCTGCCGAAAAACGCATTTACTGAAACATATTGAAACTAGAAAACATTTCAAATAGTGATGTTTTATGTTCCAATCATTTTTCTGGATATATATTTGTGTCAAAAACTGGATGCGGAGGAAGAACTAGATTAATTCCAGGTACATTGCCATTAAGATTTATTAAGGCCCCAGAAGAAGAGAATGTAAAAGATAAAGAACTCTGCACTTTTCTTGTGGGTTAGTTGTTTAAAATTTTAATTTTTTAGTGATAATCTGAACCATGAAGCCTCTGTTGCAGAATAAGAAAACATATAAGTAACTAAGTACTTTTTAATACAACATACATTTTATTTTCAAATACCTATTACTACCCATATTTTTTATAAACCACAAAAATTGACAATAATTATTTTTTATTAAATATACCAATGTTTTTTAATTAACTAGACTGCTAATTGTTAAGGAATAAGCAAAGCCTAATGTGAGTTTTTAAATAAAAAAGTCATTTTAAGCTTCTCTTATTCGTACTCCTAGTCATTAAGAAATAATCGAAGTATAATACAGTTTTCCAATAAAAATTAAGCTTCATTTCAATTGTTAACGAATGGCAGTTCAAATGTACCTAAGTATTAGCTTGAGTTCTATTTGTAGTATATTATTTAGTAATATATTTTTTATTTTTAAATATAAGCTCTTTATCTTTTTTATTGCCTATTATTTCAACTTTCATTTTTCCGTTATACACTTTCTGATGTTTAAAAAAAAATCTGATATATCCAACACAAATAATATTAATAAATAATAATAGTTTATTATTACTAGATACCTACTTAAATAAGGCAAGTTTATAAAATATGTTCATAATTTAAAGTATTTTAAAGGTATGTATCAAATTTATTAATTACATTAATTACAAACCCCGTAAAAATGATGCGACACTGAAAATAGTGTCTACCTATTTCCCCGCATAACCCAAACAAACTCTGTTGAATGCGGACTCTATGAAATATATATGCTCGAAGCGGGCGTGATTTTTTACCGAGTACTTGGTAGCGTGTAGCGTGCTGCGTGTCCCACCAGATACACATTTAATTTACTATGTACTTGGCAGCGTATCTCCTCAGAAACATAACATTTTAGACAGTCTCTAATTTTTTTATGTTAGCATGTAGTACAATAGTATTGATATATTTCTATATACTCATATCTTATTATCGCGCCTAATTTCCAAAAAAAATAAAATTATATAAACACGTGTACTCACCATTTCTAAAAATGTTCGATTACACCAACATGCATCTGTTTCAAAATGGTTTTAAATGACATATCTCGACTAAAATGGAAGCATTGACTTCAAACCTAAACGGCCGTTAATACAGGGTGTGGTACATACGGTGTTGCCAACATCATCCCCAAATTTAACGATTTACTACTTACAATAAAATCGGGAAAATTGGTATCTTGAGAGATACGACGCCAAGAAAACGGTTAAATTCTGTAACTGCAGGAGTTCCGCAAAGATCAATTCCGGGGCCGTTACGTTTTATCATATCCATAAAAGATTTATGCATTTATTTTTTAATCAATGTATTCAAAATCGGATGAAGAAGCTGGCTGAATAAAAAAAAATAAAAATTTTAAATTGTATGTTAGAATTATTAGATTATGGAATCAACTTCATGATTACAATTGTATATCAAAACTGTTTCTGTAAATAACTTTTAAACTAGTTAATTGTAGTTGTTTAAGAAAATAGATCCAAATTCTAACCAATTATAATTATACGAGACATGACTGATTTCTAAACCTACTGAAACAAGTTACAAAATGTCAACAACTTAATGTTTAAACGAATGACTATATTTTTAACCTTATCGTAAAAATTCTATAGATTGCAGTGTTCCCTTGACGTTTTAGTGTTAATTTGTAGTATTTAACGTCAATTTACTACAGTGTGTTATTAAATTTTTGAGGAAGACGTATTTTTTAAAGATTTCACCTTAATTTAAGCTCCAGCTAATCTCAGGTCGTGGTACGGCCTTTGAGTTCTTGAATATGTTTACCTTTTCACGTTTTATAAAAAAAATATGAAAAAAAAAATTGATTAACCAGTGAATAAATATCTAAGGATAAAACAATGACCTTCTATTAAACGAAAAGAAATATAGTCCTTAAAATTAGATAGTGTAAAGTTTTGAATTCAATTTGGACGTTTATTTAAAAAACAAAAATATAACATTGGGCTGAATTCCAATTGAAAATTAAACAATGTTAATGTGTTTTACTGCTAAAGGCTACAAGTATAAATGGCTGAAGGCCTGAGTATATAAAAAAAAATTGTGATTAACGATTCGACCGCGTGCCTTTACGAGCGTTAAAATACGAATTAAACTTGTTGCGAGGTGTTGAAAACTAGGACTTCCCTGTGATTATTCTGGCTGAAGTGGTCTCACGAGGTAGTTTAAGCCTACAGTTGGTTAGATCAGGACGGTCCAGTGACTAGTTCGGTCGATGCAGATCCTGGATTAACCAGCTGACTGTTTCTACCTAGGGTTTCCTGACATCGAAGAAGCTGGATTGCAAAGTTCAAATCTCACTGATATTGCTTCCTGAAGCTACGGTCGACTATAAATTGAACTCAACTCCTCAGGTCTTAGTGGTGCAGTTAGGGATCTAACGATGATGGTGTACCTCGGAAATTCCTATATGTCAGACAAGGTTGATGATCTTTGGGGCCATAGGATTTTTCGATTTAAAAACCAGGCATTTTTATTTATTTTCATTTCGTAACTGGTAGCAATCAACTTTTTGTAATCAGTTGCATAATGTTCTACTTTATGCAACTAGTTAATATAGAGTAGATCGTTTTGACACTTGCTGCGATTACAAAATATGTCACTTTCTATGTCAAAGTTAGAAAACTATTTTTATGTAATACAATTCAGAAAATCTCTTTGTTTTTTAACATTTATAACAACATTTTCTTACAATTTAGGACGTATTGGAGTGAGATATATCAAACTGCTTATATTTTGACGTTCTTTTATTCTTTATATTAAACAAAAAATGAACTATTCTGGATCTTAGTTTTTGCTTATTTAAGTGCTAAATTGAAATAGTATATTATATTACGAGTGTGAAAAGTGATATTTTTCACATGACTTGGAAATATTGTCGCACGAGGCACAAGCCGAGTGCGACTATCACACGAGTGGAGAAATGTGGTAAATGCACTCTATCATCGATTAGGGTACTGTCAACTCACAAATGGAGCACATTTTGAACACTTGATAAAGTAACCATTATGTTAAAAATAGTGTAATCTTTCAATACCCAAAATGAAAAAAGCTATAGGAAAAAAAAGTTTTACATACCTGGCTCCAAAGTTGTATAACCAATTACCATCTGATTTAAAAAAAAATTAACTCAGCAAGTTTATTTAAAAAGAAAATAAAAAATTGGATCCTATCTTTTCCGACTTCTACATTGCAAAACTTTATTTCGCCGCGAAATGAAACATGTTATAGTCAGTCAATCTTATCGTGATTTAAAAAAAAACCTAATAATTTAATGTCTATTAATATTCTAATTGATTTTACTAACACTGTTTTTTGATTGTCCTTTTATATTATATTATATTATATTATATTATATTTTACAGTTAAATTGATTAAAATTCTATTATGTGAATCTCAAACATTTCCTTTTATAAATGTATACTTTTTAATTTAATTTTTATACATCTATTTTTCATAAATGAACTACTGCATTCACGCACAAGCCTGCTTTTGTGAATGTACACTCTATTTACCATGAATATATGGGTGTCTACTTATTTACCTATCTCGTTTTTTATATACATGTATTTTTTTTAAATCTAAATTGTAATTTTAATTGAGGCAAATAAAGATTATTATTATGAAAATAGTTTGTATTAAAAAATGTATGAGACAATTAGGCGTTGCCAGACTTCTGTTTTGTTTAAGACCTTCTAGACTACATAAAATCATAAGTGTTACATATGGTTGAACTCGTATTGAATAGGAGATTCCAATGATGACTTAATATACAGGGTGATCGATTTGAAAAACCAAAGTGACTAATAATATAAGAGAAACTAAAAATCTGGCAACATTGCAAATATCAAATCTGGAATCTCCGTATCCCAGAATAGGTGTACTCCAAATTTTGTACAATTAGGACTAGCAATTTACGAGATAATTGGTTGTTTCCAGACTTTTGGGCCACTCTGTATAATTGTTGAAACTTACCACATTATATTCAGCTATAAGGGCTCGTCAAAATCTTCTAAAAAGAGGTCGAGAAGTGCAACATGTCAAAAATTTATGACATTTAACAGGTCGCCAATTTTCCATAAGCGGTGTGCGGAGTCTTTTGAACTGTAAATAAATCTGCAAAGTTTTGCCCTTACCTACACCAATTTAACCCTACCAACCATCACTTTAAGCATACATATACACATTTTAACCATACCCACCCTCACATTCTCCCTCACTTTAACTCCGATACTATCCAATGATCAATAATCAATAAAACACAATAAATAGAGTTTACGAAATTAATTTGCTTATTTGAAACAACTAAAATGATCGCTCCTTATTTTAAATCTTTAAGTGATTTTAACTTTTTTGTTATAGTGGCACCCTCCCTTGGCAAAGGCATGGAACTGAAAGTGTCGGTTCATCCCCTGGTCTCCCTCGCAAACTACCCACCCCAGAGCCATCCCATACTGCCCCTGTGACGGTAAGTACACCAAAGTTTACAACAAAATTAGTCCTTTAATTGTTAGGTTGTTGTTTTTTAATTTGCATGTAAGTACGTTACCTATTATATTAATGAAAAACATTAAAACAACACCGAAGGACATTTTGACGGGGCCTGCATGTAAATTGGTGTTGTTAAGTTTAATAGTTCTATAAAGTTTAGAAAAGAAAACTTTGAAGGTTGTGACAGCTGTGTGCAAGTAGTTTACATAAACAATAAAAAATTTGTATATTTTTAATAAAATTATCAAAGCGCCTTTATGGAAGCGTAGGAGGGCTGTTAGTACGTTTACACAGAAGCGGTTGATACATTAATAACATTTGAAATGCAATAAGTTTGTCTTAAAATATCACAGTTCAAATGTTTGTACTTAAAACTTTAATATCACTAATTTGAGTAGAGAAAATCATTCTGCTTAAATACTATTTCTTGAAATCAAATATCACAAGAAGTGGAGTGTAAAAAACAGATATAAAACATCTTTAATTTTATTTTAATTTTAGTCCCTTTTTTCTAAAGATTTTTGATTGTAAAAATTATGTTTGCAAACAGCCACATACTATAGCGCGATTCAGGCATTCTAAAATTTTAAATTATTCCCGAGTATAAATAAAATGTGGTCCCAGTTCATCTCGGAGGCCATATCCAAACCCAAAATGGTTAAAATAAATAAATCTGTAAGCTTTTTCCAAGAAGAATCTAATAGAGACGAAAAGGTTGAAGTGATGTGACCGTTAATTACATTAAAATTTTTCATAAAAACATCCCCATCTCTAGCAACCTTCTCAGTGATTTAAATTAACGATTCAGGTTCTATTTTTGTTTTAATAAACTAAAAGAATTTTTAATCATTAATAATAATTTTATAGATGTGAAATACATTTTTCATCATTTTTTAATGTCATTTATTTGTGTACGGCTATAAATATGGAGTTAATCTTTTTCGGCCGAATCAAAAATTTACAACCGAGGTCAAGTTATTTCTGGTGAGTATTATTACAATAGACAGATTATTTATTTAATGTAGAGAACTTTTTACAATATATTACACGAAAAAAAAATTGTAGAACAAATTTTTACAATTGTAGATTTTTTCTCTACAATAAATAGTACATATAGGGACAGGGACAATTTGTAGTAAAAATTTACAAATATTTGTGGAGAATGTATTGTAGAGTTATTATCTACAATATTTAGTAAAAATATCCAAATGCATCATAAGAATTGTTCTACAAATTGTTATAATTTTTGCTATATTTTGTATGAATTTATATTAAAAATGTATTGCGTTTTATGAAAATAAATACGAAAATTTTACACAATAAATAGTAAAAATTCATACAAATTGTAGTAATTTTAAATAAAATTTGTAGTAGTATTCCATAATTATTATAATTATAACCTAGAAAAAAAATGTTCCTTAATAAAATATTCATTTTATTGTTTTAATATAAAAAATACAAATTCTTAATTACATTATGTAATAAATAACAGTAATAATAGCGCCCTCAGTCTCAGTTGGCTTTTCTGCACCTGAAAAATATGAAATAAAAATTAATACCAATTGAACTGTTCATACCCTTAAAACGGGGATATTTATCACCTTTACACTGATTTGGATATTAAATGACTAAGTCAGATAACTAACAAAAATGAGAAAGTAGGTATGTCACAATTAAGACAAAAAAACATCATTGAACTTGGCACAAAATTCGATCGTTGGGCACAACATTCGATCGTTGGCCACAACTATTTTTGTTTAATAATCTACTAAGGTTATTTAAATTAGTTATCTAAAGGTAAATTATTCAGAAACAATAATAAATGTACTTACCACCAATAGAATTTATAATAATTATAATAATAATAATAATAATAATAATAATAATAATAATAATAATTAATAATAATAATAATAATAAAGGTCTTTATTGTTTTCATTACAGCATTTTACAAAATTAATATTACTAATAGTTTATTAAAGAAAACAAAAGGTGAAGTTCACTTTCCAAAGTTTAAAAAAAACACTTGGAAAATATTCTTCCACTTAACCCAATGATGGTGTTTATATACATATGTAAATAGGAGTAGGTATATGAACTAAATCTAAACATATTGAAAAATCAAAATAAAAACAAAAAACTATATCTTTATATTTTTATATTTTAGAGGGGACAGGTAGAACAATTACGATTTAAGTGCATTGCTTGCTAAATAACAAGGTTTTGTATTTACATTTGAAAGTAAGAGGGTGAAGATTTTTAAATATAATAGGAACAGAATTATACAATTGAAAAATTTGATATGAAAACGAACGTCTAAATAGTTCGGATCTAAATTGAGGTGATGATAGTAGACCTTTGAATCTTAAATTTAAGTTGTGAACATCTGTCCTAAAGGATATTTTTTTGTAAAGATAAATGGGGATTTTATACAAGACAATTTTGTGGTATAGCGTAGTTGCATGATGAATTTGTCGGTTTTCCATATTTAGCCAATCGATTTCTTTGAGTTTATGTGATATCCTTTGATATTTTCTTATACCGTATATGAGTCTTAAGCAACTGTTTTGTATTTTTTGTATTTTTTTTTTTGAAGGTTACTGTTAAATTTGGACCATAGACAGAATCAGCAAAATTAAAATTTGATAGTACAAGTGATTCACATAGTGATATTTTAATACTTTTAGGCAACAACTTACGATTACCGTATATCAATTTTAATGAGCTATAAGCTCTCTGAATCAATTTAGTGATGTGTTTTTCAAACCTTAATTCAGAATCAATTAAAACTCCTAAGTTTTTAGCTTCATTTACTATGGTTAGTCTATCATTATTAATTTCAATACCTAATTCTTCAATAATTTTGTCACGATTACGACTTGATCCAAACAACATCACATTAGATTTTGAAGCATTAATTAGTAAACAGTGCTCAGTTGCTGATCCAATAAAAGAATTCAAATCACGATTAATTATCTCACACGCATTTTATGATAGATCTGGAGGGAAACTGTAATAAATCTGAGTGTCATCGGCATATAGGTGAATTTTACAGTTTTCTAAAGAATTAATAAGGTTCGAAGTGTATATTGAAAAAAGCAGAGGGCCTAAAATGGAACCTTGGGGTACGCCCGAGTGAAGATTTAATAATTCTGAATTATGTTCATCGATTTTAACACATTGTTTGCGATTTTCCAAAAAATCTTTAATAAATAATATAGCGTTGTCAGCAAAACCTATATAATGCAAGATGCTTAATAATAAATTATGATTTATCGTATCGAAAGCTCTACTAAAATCTAATAGAGTTAAGATAGTACAATGCCCTTTGTCAGTTGCAGTAATGATATCATCTAATATTTCCAGAAGTGCTGTTGTACAGCTATACCCTCTGCGAAAACCTGATTGAACAGGGGGCAACAATGAGTTATTTGATAAATGTTCTGTTATTTGCTTTTCCACTGCTTTTTCTAAAATTTTGGATTATTAAAATTTTCTCAAACGCATCGGTGCTTATAATATAATAATGTGTTATAGGTACTCGTATATGTACCATGCTTTGTTATGTGAACATGGCGAACGGCTACTGCTGTCTGGCCGTTTATGATCGACGTCTGAAAACGTTGGCCAATAGCAGAATTCTGTTTTGTTCACATTACTTAGAATTTCTACAATATTATAGAATATTTTTGAAGAAAATTGAATTTTTTTCATAAGAAGGGATGTAAAGTATTACTATTTTTTGTAGAGAAAATTACTATTTTTTGTAGAGATAATTATTAATATTTGTACAAATTTTTACAGAAGTTAGTAGTAGTAATTACGATAATTGTAATAAATTTCTACTTCTACAAACAATAGTAAAATATACTAAACATTGTGGACTTCTTTCCTATTGTTGTAGCATTTTATTCGACAATTCAATTGCTACAATAATTAATAGTTTTTAACTATAAATTGTAGTAAAATTTTCTACAAATTGTTAGGTATTTTTCTACAAGTCTACTACTACAACATTGTAGTAAAATTTTCTAGTCACATTTTTTTCCGTGTATGATTCGTTAAAAATAGAACTATAATAACTAGTAATTATAAACAATATTTAAAATTAAAATAATCCTATACAGAATAGACTTAAGATACGAGTATTTTTAAAAACTTTTGAGCTCATTCTTCAATAAAATACTTATGTTTTAGTTTTTTTTTAGGACGTCCGGAAGTTTATTTTTTAAAATGGGTTCTGCATTCAAAAAATGTTTTCAAGTAAATTCAACGAAAAAATGTATGTAGCGATAACAATAATAAAATTTCTATTTGGTCAATCTAATAACTAGGGGAGAGTGGGGCACATTTGTAAACGGGGTACATTGGGACGTTTAAGTTTATAGCGCCAAAAATGATGGTAGGCTCCGACTACAATTAGAAGAACACAGCTATGTCATCATTTGGCGAAGTAATTCATTGGCCATCCCGCCTACCGGGGGTTTAGTGGCGTGAAAATATAAGAATGTAGGAAATATATTGTAATGCGAGCCATTTCATTATTCAGTCATACTCTAATTTTCCACGTCTCTCTCTGTTTTATTTGGCCTTTGAGGCTCAACTTGTCTGATTATCTTACATAATTAAACCTCTTAAGACCAAACATGATGTGACGACTATGGCGTAGGTGCTTTCGATTACCTTCCAGAACGAACGTGATATTAGGTGGTATGAATAAAACCGAAGTACGTGCTAATACTAGAAGTATTAGCATTTTCTACAAAGTATATACTTCAAAACTAAGAAGGAACTCTATTTCAAAGTAGATACTTTTAATTTTTCCGGAACCTACTACACCAAGTAGCACTCTCGTGAAAATGACTAAAGTATTTACTGCAATTTGAAGTACCGACTTCTTACAGTAGATACTTCGATTTCAAGAAGAAATTTAGTATTTGCTTGACGTTAGCGAAGTTGGTATAGCAGCAGCTTCTC